TCTTCTTTCTATTAAGCCAAAAACTACTCACGTACAATGTTTCCGTAGCTAAATGCTCTTTTCATCGAGCAGCCTTCCACTACAATTCAAAGATTATTTTTGATACCATGGAACCTTCTATTTCAACATTTTCAGGATGGAATACATCTACATCTTATTTTGTAAGGCTTTTTATTCCAAAATGTATTTAATTTATATTAAAATGCTTTGAAACTTTTGTTAAGGGCCTAGAGATACTGGCATAGCATAGCATAGCATAAGCAACAAGGTACGCTCTTTGGCAGAGTTCATGCTATGCTGACCTGGCCCAGAGGCATAACACTTTTTGGGGTACAGGCCTAAAAGAATAAAAGAACAAGGTCCCTGGATTGGAGTCTTGGAATTCTGTATTAAATAATCATTGAATGAACTGCATAAAAATCACTGGGAGCAAGCCCCAAATCTAGTGTCCCTCTTTCCCAAGAAAGTGCCCAACTCACTGGGCTGACTGTCAGCCCCCCTTTTGTTTTCTTTTCTTCTTATCCCCATGACTTAACAGTCCATTCTCCTTAGTGGCTCAGCTTCAAGAGGCGTGATGGAGGATATCCTAGTTTTTAGTCTGATGGTTAGGGCACTTTCTCCTCAGAAATGGGAGGGTAAGAAGGTATTAGCTTCTTTCATACAGAAATTTTTGAAGCTAATATAATAGGCCCAATCAAGGTGAGGATAGGCATGTTAGACACATAAAGTATGTGCCATGCTCCCAGAGGATCAGGTTCTGTCTTCTCACAATGAGTGTTGAACTCAGCACATTGTTTGCTTTGTTTTCCAGCCTTTTCTTTCTCTTCTTTCATTAAATGTTGAGACATTTTCTCCTCATGAACTTCTTGCTGCAACTATTTCTGGTACAATCAGAACAACAGTCAGCAATAGATGGTATAGAAGGAAGGACCAATAGGCAGCATCAGATACCACTATCAGTCTGGTGACTGCTGTTAGTTGCCTTGATGGCAGGAAGAAATGCATCCCAGCTGACTCCAAAATGGTATACTGATAAAGGCAAATAAAATGCCTTCCCCTTAATTTGAGGTCTCCAAGAAACATTAAAAGACCTTTCTAGGAAAAAAAGAACATGCTGCATTTAACTAAATTAAACGTACTAATCACCTGTTACAGGTATATGAGCAACTGCTATATTTGCTGTAAATTCTGAAGTTCGCTAATTCAGAATTTGGAGAGCTCCCCTCTCTCACTATCTGTAATGAACAAGTAAAATGGATTGAGACAAGAACACACACTACATATCTTATAAAGCAAGTTTGATATGGTGAGGTTCAAGCTTTCTGTTTGGCCTCCATGCAAGTAAAAACATAGTGAATGCATGTAAGCTTGGTACAAGATACTTGGTAAGCTGCACCTAACTACTGCAACTAGGCTACTTAATATCAGCAGAACAATAATATTTTTGTAGCAGCTGCAAAAAATTCACAGAGGTTTAAGTATGACAATATCATAATCAGTACACAGTTGCTTGTATTTACCAAATTCTGGTAGCCAATTCAAGAAAAGCAAAGACTATGATACATTTTCTCAATTTTCTTTAGATTGTTCCAACTGTTTGAGTTTCAATGTGGCACCAAATACTATATTGACAGTGTATACTACAATAGCCTCTTTCTTCTGGTCTAAGAATGCTTTATAAACATTAATAAGTTAAGCCTCAAAATTATTAAGATCTAGGGAAACTGAGACTCTGATTTCTTTGTACGTTTTACTACAAGATCATGTTTCCACTCAAATTTGATTTCTTTCTACGACCAGGTGATGCATCACCTGGACAAAGGAGAAAAGAGGCGGATATCATATTTTTGGACTTCAGGAAAGCCTTTGACCTGGTGTCCCATGATGTCCTCATGGAAAAATTGGGAAATTAAGGCCTAGACAATTTCACAGTCTGGTGGCTGGGGAACTGGCTCCAGGGACAGACCCAGAGAGTCCATCAATAGTTGATGGAGAGACCATCAATAGTTGATTAACTGAATCAACTTGGTGCACTGTAATCTGTGGTGTCCCCCACGGCTCTGTTCTTGGACCTGTACTCTTCAATGTGTTTATAAATTATCTGGATTAAGGTGTTACATCAGGAAAAACTTCTTTACTGTCCGAGTTCCCTGGAATAGACTCCCCACAGAGATGGTGCAGGCACCTACTCTGGATTCCTTTAAGAAACACTTGGAGGCCTATCTTTCTGGGATCATTTGGGCAGGGGGCTGGACCCAATGATCCCGAGAAGTCCCTTCCAGCCCTAATGTCTATGAAATCTATGAAATTTTTATTATGGAACTTGCCATCAATTTCAACTGTTATGGGTTGAAGTTCTGGTTCCAAAGTCATCCCTGGCAAAACTTTCATTACTTTCAGTGGCTAGAGCTTCAGGCTTAGAGATGTTTTCACTATCTTTGCCATCCTGATAGTAAACTTTATGTCATTATTATTCCCTTCTATAAATAGATGCTTTTGCCATTGTTTTACTTGATGTGCACCTAAAAATAACAGTTGAACAGAGTTGCGTCTCATTTGTCATCTTACATTTATAACCTCCCAAATATGACCCAAGCAGTACAAGTTTGCTACTACAGTAGTTACAGGGGTTCTTTTTATTCATGTCTTTTTTCAGCTATCTTTTATATGACATTTCCCTAGTTGTCAAGTATTGCTCAAAAACTGTGCATGGACACACTGGAAAGCTCACTAACACAATTTTCACTTTTCAAAACCTAGATTTTAAATTAACTGCTAAAGCCACTATGATAGATGGTAGCATGTTATTCTTTCTGACATGCTTGGGACACCTCACGGGTTAAACTTCTTATAAGAATTATGAAAAGCTTGTTAGGAAGAAGGAACTCGGGACAATAAGAATGAGACCTTATCAGAGTTTTTAAGATCACTGGAAGAGATTCAAGTCTGTTTTCCCCATCTTCAGTGTAACATTCCCACAGGTAGAAACTCTTAGGGCAGGAATTCCGTTTCACCTAGTGCAAGTTGGGTCAAACCATGGCCTGTGGGCCAGCTCAGGTCTGCAGAACCCTCAGTCTGGTCCACTGGGCTACTGGCAGGCAACAGAAGTTGGGGGCATGGTTTGCCACAGAATCTGGTGCCCTTTGGGCCCTCTGGGCATGGCCATCATGGGTGAGCTTGGCCCTCTGCCACCCCTGGACTCATGCTGCACTGGCCACTGTGTGAGTCCTCATGCACAGTCTGGATCTGGCCCAGGGCCACAGATGACAGCCAAAACACAGCTGGAGATTAATGGAACTACCTGGCCATTGTGCAGAAGCATGTAAGTGACCTTATTACAGGAAAGGTAGATATCTGTGCATCTCTGGAGAAGAAGCCTCTAATTTCCCTTGCCCATTTGCTTGCCCAGATGGGGTGACAGCATGCTCTTACACAAAGGCAGATTAAAGATATAGAAAATCCTTGATTCTATGAAAAGGGGGATACAGCAGATACAACTGGTGCTACAGGTCAGACAATGCTGAGGTTGCGGGCAAGGTATGGCTGGAGCTGTGAACCAGTGGGAGAAACCCGGGCGGGGTCAGGCAGGGAGCAAGAGCAGGAAGTGGGAAAAAAAGAACCCACCTGCTGCTGTCCTCAGCTGACCCAAGGTGTGGGAAGCCCCAAAGCCACTCCTGCCCTCGGTCCAGACAGGGGCCACTGGAGACACCTGCATGGGGTGCTGGGCTTGGCCAGGGATAGCAGCAGTGGCAATGGGCAGGTCACCTATTCATGTGCCTACTCCCTGCCCACTCCTGCAGGTGCTGGACTGGGGAACTCACTTGTGATCATCCCCAGCCTAGTCTGGCATCCCTCCAAAGCCACTCTTGGCAGTCCTGACTGGAGCAGGGCAGAAGCAGCCCTGGGGCTCCTTCCACCCTCCCTTCATGTGCCTGCTCACTGCCCAGCCCCTTGGATTCCCCACAGGCCCAGGAGGTTCCAGCTGTGAAGAGCAGCTGCCTGGGGTGCTGGATCTGGCTGCTTTCTGTGCCTGTTCCCTGCCTGAATCCCCATTGTTCCCCCATTGGCCAGGGGTGGGAGAGCTTGCTGCACTATGCAGTAAAAAGGGGGTGCCATCACACTGCCACACCACTGCTGAATCTGTCCCTGCTCCTACACAATAGCAACTTGGAGTCAATGTCAAACTACACTTTGGCTATCCACTTGAAGAAATAGGATTCTGCCTTAATGTACTATGAGACTATGGGAAAAGCAGGCAAGGAAATCTGCCTTCTTCTTTCACATATAGCATAACTTGTTCCATAAAGCCAACATCTGAAAAAGCTATTCAATCTCCTACATGTCCAAGAAATAATCTAATCTGCTCTCCCCACTCCCAGAAACCCATACATACACATTTGCTATACAAAGGGTGTGTCTACACGTTTTTACGCATGCCTAAACTTAATGCACATTTGCCTAATGTGCATTAAGGCAATTTAGGTACGTGTCTACACATGCACATGCTAAGGCACATTAATGCAGTGGACGGACCAACTTGGGACTCAAGGTAGTCCCAAATCAGTTGACATATACAGCATTAATGCACCTAGGTGCGTCTACACATGTGTTAAGGTGCTTTAGCTATTCACGCCTAAATTTGATACCTGCTCCTATTTTGCAGAAAACCAAATACCTCTAAGTATCTTCAAGATGTCCATGGCCAAGGATGTATTCTGGTTCTGTGTACCTTCAACAAGCTGTGGTCCATTTGTTTATCTAAAATTCTTACTCAATCTAGGTAAATGGGGGATTCAAAAGCCTGCCAGAAGTCTTTCAATGTTTGTAACCACTAACCCACTCAAAATATACACCATTGCTGCATGAAGAAACTCTTTAATGGTTATATGGTACTTTACCAGTTGCTTTTGTCTCTTTGAAATATAAACACCCAAGGGCTAGTGCAGTATGTTTTGTATAGCACTGATTATGTGGCATTCCACAAATAATATATTAGTTACCTTTCTGTTCAGAGCCACACCATCTTCACAGTCCAATACAGCACAATCTACCTTGAGCGATGGGATTTTCTGTATCTTTCTTTTATCATCTGCAGGTACATACAGCACAGCTCTCCTGGGCACATACTTGTGAGAAGACTGGACGTGATAACCAAGCTTAGGAACACCAGCTGCCAGAGAAGCACTCTTTCTGTAAAAGATGTTGCCAAAGTTAGACTCCTGACCATAATTTGAAAAACAAAACATTAACATATTTTAATTTAAAAAGGAGCATTGCTATTTGGATACAAACTCTTAATTTCTTACAACTTTAAAAATACAATTTGCAAACTCAAGTATTTAAAACTTAGGAAATGCCAGAGTAAAAGCTGTCTATTCAGTTTTGCTTTAGTCTTCTTGTTCATAATGCAGACACTAATTTGTATGAAATGATCATGTTCTATTTTTTCCACCCATCTCCATCAGTGCAGTGGCTGGAGAGTGTATTGGGAATATATCAAAATGGTATCATAAAGGAGGCTGTTGTCTGTAGGACAGACATCCACTGGTTGTGGAAGCTGAAATGTGAATGAAGCAGGAAACCACCCAGAGAGAAACGGTCTCATATTTTAAATGAATTATGTTTGGGAGAATGGAATTATAACCCTACCTCTGCCAATGAGTTCTGATGGCAAGCTGGTCAAGTCACTTCAGCTTTGCAATTCAGGCATTTTCTAATGTCTAAGTGCTTGACTTTGCAACCTGAATGTTGTTTGATAAAGCTTATTTGTGTGCAAATTCCTGTTGCTACATAAGCAAACTGAAAGCAAAAACCAAACAAATCACATCCTGCGGAATGACACTGACCTCAGCAGCACTCATCACTAGGATTGGTATCTTTAAAACCAAAGCACTGACATTTGCCACTTGAAGAAATGTTATTACTGGTTGTACCAATAGGCTAGTTAGCCTCTGTGAGGGTGGACCTCTAGAAAGTGCCAGTATGTTTCACAAACTCCCCATTGACACTAGGCCTGTGTGCCCAGCCCTTTCAGTCTCCATTCTGTCAACATGGGAGCCAATGAGGCTGAGCCTCATTTTCTTCTGATTCTATTGGGCACTAGCTGTTGGGGCACTGGAAGGACAACATGGTACAAATAATTAAATGAGAAGAATAAAACAGTCTCTCTGCCCACCACTGCAGTGCCCAATAGAATTGCACAAGAATTCGTGCTCAACCTCCACTCCCTAGGGTGAAGCAGTGTAATCAAGAGTGAGACCTGTTTGGGGATGGGCCGTGACAAAATGGACTTTTCAGAGAGTAATAGAAGCAGCTTCCACCAAACTTCTACTGAGGGTGTGTGAACCTGGGATTCTTCAGAGGTTTATAACATGGCAGATTTTCACAAGGACAGCAAGAAGTATATTTCTGACTATCTGCTAAATTTCAAGTCCTTGCTTCAAAGCACAGAGGTGACAAAGCTTCCTTGTAAAATGGTGGTAATAATTTTGTATCATGGGCAGAATATTTTCCCTTTAATGCTTCTCCTAGAAGTGACTTATCTATTTTAGTTGAAACTTTCCAAATTAATACAGTCTGAGGAGGACATGAAAAAGTAACCTGAATGGATTTTAAAATATGGGACAATTACAATTGCCAAAAGTTGATTAATATAAACTATTAGCAAATCTTAAACATAAGTGTAAATTCCAGTTGCCAATAATAAGTAAAAGTCACACCAGCAAATTTTACAGATTGAAATCAAACAAAGCACATAATACAAACATAGTTTGTCCATCCTGCAGTTGGTTTAACAAGAACTCCTGACTACTGTGGATCAGGATTTGGTGGGATTGTTACTGCTGCAGCCGAAGAATGACTAAACCTATGATTGTTTTTCACCAGTGTGAAACCACCAGCATCAACCATCTTGGCAGGTGTGCCACAAGTTAGCTCCACACTCTCCCCGATTGCCATCCAATCCCTTTCCTCTACACGATCTGCTACTCTGCTTTCTGCTCCCTTCTCTGTGCTTCCTGCCCTGTCTGTTCCTGTGCTGCCTCTCCCCTCCCTCATCTGCCACATACTATGCACAGTGGCTGCCCATGTAAAATTGTGGCACTTGTGCCATAGTTGGCCAACCTTTGTTTATGCCATGGTTTAGTACTGTTATTACAGGAAAAAAACAAATAAATGTATAACCCCAGCC